ACTGCTAGTTTTTTTTGTCAGAACCTGCATTTTTTGAACCTAACTCTGGATGTTTGATAGTTAAGGAAAGGCTTCCTACAATTTCATGTAGTCTAAACTTACATGTAGTCTAAATTGACATACAGTAAGGATAATGTAATTATTATTTTAATATGCAAATGTTAACAGAGAACGTAATTCATTGATATATAATGAAGCATTATTTTTTATCATAAAAAATTACAATTCTTAGTAACAACAAAAGGATGACATTTGTTTTTCTAGGTAATACCGCCGTTCATCAAGATTGAATAGCTATGAATTTAATTTCCATAATTTAGAAGTCGCCAAACAGTCCACAGATCGTTTACAGAGATTCAGAAAGCGGAGTTTGCGTAAGGCTCCGTTGGCGCAACGGCTTTGTCTCTTCATGTAGAGCGACGATCCAAGTCTAACGCCTACGCATTGCACAATCGCTAGTTTTATTGAGTCGGTTTTAGGGCTATGCATCTACTAATGAAATACTTGTATCCAACCAATGATACATTTCCATTATATAGAAATAAAGTTTATAAGCCTATTGAATAAAAAAGAGCGAATTATGATTGTAATTATCTCGTTACCTCCGTCCTAATTTCTCCCAGTTTACTCTTAACAGCTTATCACAGTATGATAACAGTTGTGCAAACTATACGGCCAGCGCAGTGTTTGTGGGCGAGTTGTTCTCCTTAACGACGAGGCTAATTTATCGCTCTCGTTAAACAGGCCGCTTGCCTAATTACAATTACACACTGACTAATAAAACATTGTTTATGTTTGTAATAAACGGTTTAATATTTATATAAAGTCGGAGCGACGCGGACGGTCCCTGCGCGGAGAGCTAACATCTCTGCGACCTTGTCCGTGCTTTGTGCTTCATTTAAACCAAATACATTAAAATGCATTTAAGCATAACATGACATTTATTTATCTTCTCCGTAATGAATTTCCGCGAAGCAAGAAGAAAGGAAGTCGATGTGTGCTTGTATTTGTTTACATGCGGGACAACCTAAATAAACATCCAGGCTATTTTGAACTCAAACATGATGTGGGTAGAGTAGAAAGTTTAGTCAATTTTAAACTGTACACCCATATCTTACCGGTATGAGAGTCCTACAATATTAATGTCAAGGTTCGTAATATTTATTCATTCTTCGTTATACTCATCACGTTTTCTAGAATCTAAATTGTTGACCAATTTTAATGCATCGATTGCTAGGATTCATTGCCCTTAGTTTATGCACAAAAAGCTTGCAGGTTCAATAATTAAAAAGTCAATATAATTAAAGGAACTTAATTAATAAGGTAGAATAAAATGTACAGCAATAAAATGTATTGCATATCGTTTTTTTATTATCCTTGCATGAATGACCCTAGTCTAAAGGCTGTACATTAAAAAATACACTTATCGAGTATAGAGCAGCGGCTCGGTCCATTTCCGGGAACTGAAACGTGACATTAAACTTTACAGCCTCCGTATTTAATTTGACAGTTCGAAAAAAAATCGTATTAAATTAAAAAATACATATGTATACATACAAATCTGTTTCTTTACCGTAAAGGGCGATCGATTATTTGAAATTAATGAAATGAGAAGCTGTATGATAATGGAGTGGAAACGTTTTCGCTTTTTAATATTTCTGTTGCATTACATTTCCATTTATTTATTGGATCATAAAATATTGTCGATTCGTTTATTATTCTTATATTATTTTATCTTTCAACCGATATTGATAAATTGTTTTTGACGTCAAAATGGAAATTGTAATGTCAGTGTTATTAATAAATGTTGTTCGTGGGGAATAAATAAATATATACATGTATTTATATTTAGTTCTCAACTTTATCGATACGTTTATCAAACAAGTGTTTTATTATTATTAATGTCTGACAAATATTATTAAATTTTTCAATTCACTGTTATATAACGAATGCCTGAAGATGGGTTCAGTAACCTTTAGTACTAAATGTACTATAGATTTTAGTTTTAGTGCTCGTGCAAAAAACAAGAACAATTAAAAAATGTATTAAGTGTTTTACCCACGCATCAGCTAGACGAGGCACCACACCCATAGACCCATACAATGTAACTACTGTAAGATAATAATATGAATGTCCGTCTGTCACCTCCGGCATAACCGTTGGTGCGACCTTCAACTGTTAAGTTTGAAAGGCTTCTATTATATCATACTGAAACTATTGTCCTCGGGACGTTTAGGCTCTTTGTGTCCATGGAAACGGCAGTCAACACAAAGAGTACGCCGTACATGCATTGTTGTGATCTGCTTATAACTTTTTTAACAATTATATTAATATGTCTGTTTTAAAACAAACTCCCACTACGTACTCTGTAAGTGGGCGATGCCGTCGGGTAAGTCGTACAGATCGTTAAACGTGTCGGTTCCGTGTCGTGACCGGGTCACACGGCACCACCACTGGACATACATGACGTCTCTAGAAAACACTAATTGAGTGTTTGCGGCCTTTCAGATGTCCACCGTGCATTTTCTACGTATATGTTTTTAATGACTTACGACTATATCCTGTAATTTGTTTATAATAAGGCACAGAATTGAAAGACCTGTGGGGAGATCATTCTTCTAGGAAACTCAGTAGCCGTTGGCATGATTTTTTTATTGCTTCGTTAAGTCAAATAAAAATCAAATTCCAATAATTTTATATATTAATTAAGTAAAATCTCAATACAAAAGTAATTTAGGTTATTTTCCTCTATTTATATTGTTAGTTACGCTAACCTACCACCGAAATAAATAATGTGAATCTGAACGAACATTTAAATTAATTTTTTTAAAAAACATCAATTTCAATGTTAAAAGTTGCCAAAATTACTTTGTATTTTTTTATTTATATGAAAACAATATCTGTCACGTGTGTGCATTTATTTTTGTATTGTCCGAAGTCAGCGAAGTTAATTGTCAAGTGTAATAAAAAACTGTTTTGCGGACAAGTAAAAGTCAAGGTCCATTTGTGATAAACTGCTCCCCGGGTTTTGTTTTAATAAGTCTTTGTATCACGGTTGGATTAATGATATTATTTAAAATCTATATATATAAATGAATTGCTGTTCCTTGGTCTCACTTAAACTCGAGAACGACTGAACGGATTTATCTTATCATAGTCTTGACATGTTCGTGGAGGTTCAGAGAAGGTTTAAAAGCTGAATTTTTTTTATTAATTTCCGGGAAAACCCTAAAAACAGCGCTTTTTTATCTCCCATACAAACGGTTTTTTGACATTAGATTTGACAACTAACTAACATGTCAATCATTTTGTCGCACTTCAGAACACGGAGATTTATGGCTTAAAGGTAAACACCAAAAAAATAAATAAGACATAATTTATTTCTCGATTGAGGCAGTACGAAGTCTGCCGGGTCAGCTAGTTATTATACTAAATATACGATATGTATACGTATGTTTTTTTTATCGAACCTTTTTAAAATATTTAGTATATACCAGAGATAATCTCATAAGAATAACTTCTCTGCGAGGTCTGATAGATAATTTAGATAAAACCAAAGACCGTCTTAATTACGAGGCCATTAATGAGTTACAGAATTAGTTGGACGTGTCAGTTTTCTTAACAGGTTCATAGAGCTCCACTAACATATGTTTTATTTACATTGAGATATCAAATTTCAAATTTTATATTGGTCCGTGAGGATCTCATTTGTGTAATCATTTAATTGGTTACTCAGAGCTAATTCCTAATTAGTAAGGTTGGTAGCCAAAACAGAGTTTTTATATCCGCACGCCTACAAGCTTTGTTTCCTAAGAGCGCTATCAACGATCTGCGCCGGCGCAGCCATCGCGCACCGACGCTAATGAGCCGGAGACTCCTCGCTACATTGTGCTTTTAATAACATTTAAAATAATATATATTATATACATTATGCATGTATATGTTTAGATTTCTTATAAACTATTATTTTGTAGGAAAAATATTATTTATTTTGGGCTTATACTTCATAGTGGGCTCTTCATAAATTTCTAGATTAGGATGGCGTATCGTATTTTGCAGTTTTTGTAAATTAAATTGAAGCGAACAATTGATAGGTTCACGTGATGATCTCCGCTTGAAGGAACGTAACACTCGGTCATTACGACACCGGCCGTGCTATTAACAGACACATAATTGCTTGTTTTATTATAATGGATATTACAAAATATTTTCATAATCAAGATTGTTTACAATATTGTTTAAACCGTCTATGAATCGTATTTTATGGAATAGATTATTAGTATTTATACATATATTATATTTTAATATAGTAATTATGTACTGCGGTAGGGACTTGTTTCGTATTTCATTCGGGTGAAGTTTCCTACATTTCCGCTGATGGATGGAATTGGTTCAGTTTGATGGCCGTTGCCTATTTGAGGCGATTTTACTCATAAAAGCAATCATCGTCTATTGTTTTCAAACTGTAATGCTTATTCGTCTTATGATCGTGCGAAATCTGCATTCCCCACTATAACGTTCTATTGGGTATAGTAGAAATAAACACAGGTTTTCAATTCTGCTACTTTTAGATGAAATGCCGTTATTATTCCCCCATTTTTTACTTATTTGACAATATTCCAAAACTCTGCCACTTTCATAAAAAAGTATTTAAATGGTGTTTGCATTTTGTAATTACTTCACGAATCTGTAGATACCTACAATATATTTGAACTACATGCCCCACTTTGTTTCTCGGAAATTCAAAATGTTATAATTTAATTAAAATATTTTAATTTAAGCCGAAGTTTTTTATTTTAATTTATTTATACCATTGCGACATCTGCATCATTGGCCTACTTCCAATAATTTGATATTATCATTGATGGTAGTTCATGAGCGCATATCATCAGCGGGCGCCATCATCTACATCGCGTCGATTATTTTTCTTTATGACTATTATAAAGATGCGGAGATTTTCAAACGCGTTCTCAGGGAAAGTGGATGCCGGATGTCAAATATTAAAGTGAGTCGCGGGCGCATAAATCAGCCGAGTCGCCGGTCGCCCCTGTACACGATGCTGATGCTGCTTCCCCCCTTTTCCTCCTATCCTCCTCCTCTCCTCCTCTCCCCTCCCGCCTGTCCCCTACCGACCAGCGGGCTCGTGTTAACACTGATTCATGACTAGCTAATGTTTGAATGGAAATTAACATATCCATTATAAATTATAATGTTACAGACCTTTTAAGGATTTATGGAGAAATTTGATTTTGGACTTGTTTGAGTTCTGTACTCGCTTTCCAACTCATTTTTCGTACATATAGGTATATACATATGTTATAAAATTAAATAAGTTTTACTGTCACTTAAAATAAAAATGTATATTAAGCTAGTAAAGGCGGAAGTATGTCTTGTTATCTTAAAATCTCATTGTATTATTTAATTAGCATCGTATTTAGGTAATTTAACGGAAACAAATATATAATTTAAATAAAATCCATATATCGTATAAGTTATTTACCATATAGGTAAAGGAGAATACCTCGGTTTTGTTGTTTCCGTTATTGTTTTTAACATTTACAGCATTACTGAGAAGGGGGGATTGTTTTCATTCACATTTCTCCTAAGTACCTTAGATCTTGGTACATTTTGACTCGAGAGTTGTGCTTCAACAACTACAACAATATTTATTTTTTGACTGAACATTTATTGAACCAAACTATATTAGTTGTTCTTCATATTTCTAATATTGGCAACAGTCAACACTAATGACCTCTCCTAGAATGACATTATGATCAGAAATTCTTGTACATAGAAAATACTTAACTAACTAGAAGACGTCCAACAGGTTTATTTTTTTATTAAGCTAAGTAATGTCAGGTTGTTGTCCTGAGTCAATTACGGTTAATAAGGAAAGGTTCGATATTTTCACCGGACTTGTAGGTGTTCATCTTGTAATAGATATATTACTGTAGTATTATTTAAATTGTCCAATGAGGTACCTGAACTACTACACATGCTAATGAACACTCTGGACTCTACGTTTACTACTCTTATATAATAGTTCGTAGTCGTCTTCTCAATAATATCATTATATACAGTTAAAAAATCTCTAAATACGATATTCGTTTATAGAACCAAAACTGAGCACTTGGCAATATTATAATATAATTTTAAAATACAAGTCCAATTATTAAAGTCTGATTGTTAAAGTCATATATACGAGTAAATCGTGCAACAGCCATTGTATCATGATAAGGATTGAATAGGGGCGCGCGTGCGCAGCGGCCGCCGGGCTTCCGCTAGACATACTTGACCCGAATAGACATTGTGCACCTCACAGACGTTAAATAATGTAAACTTAATAACAATCGATATCGATAACATTATGACAAAACGTATCGATAAAACATTTCTCACGGGAAATATGCGGTCCCGACACTACTCTTATATTCGGCGTCGCAGTGCAACTGCAGTTGCTTATTCAATTCTACAGTATAATTTGATATTGCAATAAAATAAGCGGAGCCGACAAAAGGACATTAAAATGTGGACGACCTTAATGGTTAGTGAGAATAATAATAATTTATTTGTCTCTCCACGAACCTTTTCAATTTTAATAATACTATTACACTAATAGAATTTCCAAGTTTTCTTCACTACTTTTAATTGTGTATTGTTTATGTTTGTAATTCAACAATGCTAGTCTGTTGTGCAACTCGACATTTATTTCGCATTTGTAATACAAAAACTTAAAGTTTGCTCACATTATCTCACGTTTTAGTTTGAAACGTATCAATGATATATTAATTCAAATTTATTTACAAAATAGCGTACTGACACAATGAGCGTATTTTTAGGAAGACAAATATTAAATTTGACGGTAAAATATGTATGTAAACTTTCAACATTTTTGTAGTTTTATCAAACCTTTAGCAGATAATAATAATGTGTAGATAATTTATATCCAGCAAATGTATACAAATAGTTGTCGGTAGTCGTGTGTTTGTCACATTCACTACGTGATTCATGAGTTCTGGCTGTGATGCAACGAGTGCAGGTGACTTCTAAGATCATGAGTTGCTAGTACAAGTGCGTTTATAACCTTTACCTAATGTCTTAGTCAGGTTTCTGCGAGAATTTTGTTCGGATAATATATAATATGATAGTTGGTACTTGTATTATGTATAATATAGTATTAGAATTTATATCTAGGTAGTTTTATTTCCATACAAAGTATAATATTAAGTATTTATATACTTTTTTGTGTTTATGTGTTTTGAAGCAGAGTATCGTGTAGTCTTTTACGGATAACATAACCGTCCATGATTTCCAGGAAGGCTATATATGTTGTGGTGGGCATGGCGTTAGTACAAACAACCTACAAATGTACTTAGAGTTACGGTGAAGTGAATATCTCGTTGTTTTATCTCCTATATTACAATACAGAGTACTATTATAATGTTATGGCGTGATTTGTTTCGTTACACTGTGTCTTCATTACGATTGCCTTTCAACTCGATCCAACCTTTCATTAAAACACAAATGCATTATAAGAGGCATCCGAGAACATTTATCGATTTTGACATTTATTTACCATCGCTAAAGATCATCTGTATTCGTGATGACGATTGTGTATCTTACTGTATTCATAATAGATGATATATTGGCTCGACGTCTGGATGCATTATCTTGTACAGGAATGTACAGTCCTTATTAGTTCGGCATCGGGCGTCTATTATCATTTTCGCCGTCGGCGCCGATAGTACAATCCAGTTCCTACAATTACAGACTTGCGATTGGACGGATTATTAGTCTTTCCACGGGGAAAATACTTGGCGGAGTTTACTTCTAAATAGTACGCATCGAAGAAATTTCTAGAAAGAAACAAGTCTTATCTTTATCACATGAAAAACTTGGATCTCGTAAACAGGAAGAGCGGCGAGTCCTTTGTAGATTGAGTTTCCTTGGAAAAAAAATATTCCGCACGTTGTAATTTATAGAATTAGCGCAGAACGTGCTTTGGATGGAAAAAAAAAATTTCGCTCATCATCATGACTAATTACTTTAGCGGCAGTCGATTTTTATAGAACATGTAAAATGATGAATCAAATGTTTATACTTTATTGTTTATAAACGTCAGTAATAGATTACCGCCGGGCTCCCGCGCATCTCGATCGTGAACGGTATCGTTGCGTGCGCGATTATGCAATCCGGGCGACGTCCTTGCAGCGGCGGGGGCTGCGCCGCGGGAGGGGGCGAAGGCCGACTCAGGGCGCCGACCCTGTTCGATAACCACCCCGCTTTTTATTTCTATCACGACGTGGGTCGTGGAACCAGTTCCGACGAGTCCACCTTGTAGTATCCGTTTCTCAGTTTTTCCAGCACGCTATGTAAATCTCGTCCTACCGATATGACAGATGAAATGCTGACAGAGCGACTGACATGTTGATTTAAACACGCAAATTAATATATACTCTTTAAACTACGTTCATATAGACCTATACCTGGAAGTGTGATGACAATCTACAATAGAAAATATAGTCGAATTATGAGTTAGCTATAGTTGGTTATGATCTCTTGTAAAATATAAAAAGACGATGTAATTGTTTGTTGTACTTGTGCGCTCCACTCCCTTCACCGTTTTGAAATATTCTCCATGATAAGGGCAGTTCGTGACTGGAGTTATTTCGACATCACACGATACAAGTGCTCTGGTGTAATATACCTAATAATAGGAACAGACCTTTGAGAAAAATATATACCGTAGGTACCGCGTTGTTATTGAATATCATTTAGTATGTCACGAAGCAAACTTAAAGTTGATTGCAATGATCGGTGTTTTTGATAAATAGTAAAGAGTCAATTACACAATAGAAAGCCGAACCTGCACTCGAATCACACTCCTAGCTCGGCGCTAGAGTGCGAACAACGGCGCCGCAATAAATATAACTAGATAGAGCCGGCTATCGCACTTGCTTTGTTTGAATTACATGTACTGGTTCATGTATCAGCGGGTAAGAGTTACGATTGAACAGAATAAGTTCCTTGTACTACCGGCTACCGTTCCGATATATGGATGCTATAGTCGTGGTGGCCGCTTTTACGACTTACGGATCCCATGTGTCCCTGATCGTATGCTGATAGCCTGTCCAAACAGATAACAATAACGGATGTGTGTCGTCGTAACAGTGACGTCCTTCCGTAAATGTGACACGTAGCTTCTTTTATTGATAACGTTTTACGAAGATAGACTGGACAAATAAACACGAATATGACTGATTGGACTCGGAGGGACATTAATTTTTCTATCTTAACTGATAATAACATATTCTTTTCATTTTACTATCAACGTGATATGAAGTTATATCTTATAATAAATGACGTTCAATAATATTAGTACCGAATGACAATATAAGCAATACTTACAGTCCTACAAATATTAACGATTCCAAGTTACATTATGCATTGCTTATTTTAATTAAACAGTGTGTTAATAGAGTAATAAAACTAGGTTTACGTAATGGCTATAATATATATGTATGTGAAAAAAAAAACTTCTTTTGTAATGTTCTCTTAATATAAGAAATATGGTTATGGTATTTTATTAATTATTCCATGTTACACATAAGACAGACGACATTGACCTAATTGCTCCTCAGGGCACGTTGATCGTTTTCCTCATTACATCACCGCACACGCCAGTCGGTGTTCCTTTAACAATATGTTTATAAGAATATCTTATCGTACTATTAGCTGGCCCTTCCGTGTGACAGGTACAATACGTTTAATTCACGATTCGATTCGCTTAACGCTTTAACGATTCTAGTAATAGTTTGTTGACCATACGTTAAGATGTGTAGTTAAGATGGTATTGAAGAATGAAAATATTGTACGATACAATTAATACCAGTTGCATGAAATTAGCGAAAACTTTGTTCTGTATTTTAACTACATCTGACTAGCCTCGGGACCAAATAATTTTACCAAACCTCAAAAAGCAAGGGCTCATTTATCATAATTTATACCGGACATTGTCATGTATAGAAAAAAATACTAAACACGCGTTTGTAATTTAGGATTTCATTATCGATTTGCGTGTACATTGCTGGTCGGGTTCGAAAAGTTTTAGGAAGATTCTATACCGTAAGCAATGGTAACTGTTAAATAAGTTGCTATCGTCGTTAAAAGCGGACGTAGTAGAGGGCAGAGCGCGTCCTTCGCTCGCTGGGAACGGATGGCCTTCGTCCCAACTCCCGGGAGAATCTAAATTTAGCCCATCGCCCTTGGGGATAACGCCATGGAAACAGGATTTATAACCAGCCGGTGCATAGTCCACAATATTATCATATAACTTTACACATATATTTTAAATGTTCTTATACTAAACAGTTTAATATTGTCATAATGAATGTCGTTTGAATTTAATTATTATTATATATTAGTATTCTGTTTCCGCTTTCGATGGAATCCGAGACTATTAAAAATAGTTGAATAAAATTAAACATGTAAATACACATTCCTTGTATTAGATAAAAGTTAAAACTTGTCTATTATTATTGCATTGCATTAAAAGTGCATATGAGATCAAATCTTTACGTTAATGGGCCACGTGCGACGATATCGAATAACAACTCGCCATACATTTATAGAAAATTGTACCCTATTATAATTGATTAAAAGTCCAATTTACCGCTATGATATTTATTCATCTCTAGCATATTTTAAATATTCCACTCATCCGTAAGTAACACTAATGCATTTTATATGTGGCAACTATAAATATGACGTATCTAGGGACGTGTCCGATGTGTTGTTCGTGTTGGTTTAGTTTGTAACTATCAATAAATAGACTTTATACAGTAGGTATATGTTATATTTCGAAAGCGTTATAACACTAAAAGCATCACAGCTCGTTGTAATATTCGGTGTTAAAAGGTTTTCGCGTTCATATGAAGCGTCTTCATTAGGGTGATCCGTGGTTATATTTCGTCACAAACAAGCCTCTGAGCCTCTGTATAATTGCTGTGGCGCGTGTCGAGCACGTTCTCGACGTACGTCCTCGCGGGGAGCTCGCGGATATTCCGCTTTGAATTACAAAATATACACTAAATAAATATACGAGTCGATATGTGCGTGTCGCACACGTGACGAGTGTAATCCGCGGCGACTTACTGGCGCCCGACGCGGGACCAAATTAAACGTATCAGCTGCTCTTGTTTATTTGTTTTATGTCAAGTTCGTGCCTTTATTGCTGAGTTAAATATTTGCGAGTTCTGTTTTCGTTTGTCGTGTGTACAGATGTCTTAAAGCTAACGGTTCCCAAGTTGTCATTCTATTGTTTTCCGAATCTCTTTTGTTGAGATAACGGTTCGAGATTAAAGATTCCGAGAATTGAATATTTACATTTCTATTTCAGTTTAACATTTTAAACTAAAGAGGGGGATAAACTTTATAACTTTCTCGTCTCAATTTCTGTTACCTAAACTATTATGTTCATGGTCACCTTAGTATTGGTCTGTTAAACCTCATAAATCACATTGAGCAATTATTAGCAGTATTGATTCGAAGTCACAACACCTTCATTTCCTCGTTTCTCAAACACGTACACCATAAATCGATCTCAGTCTGAGTAGGCGTCGGCATATCATTAGCTACTGTCGTAATCAGATGCACGTGAGGTGCCGTTTCTGTGCCATTTATTATTTCAATGGTTTTTGACAGGAATCAGTCCAACACCACATCGTGGATGCAATTCAACAATTCAAATTTTATGATTTGGCGATTGTGTTAATTGTGATATTAATTAGTTAAACTAGGATTTGTCTTTTATAAGGACGATTAAAAATATGTGTTTTTATTTTCGATACAATGATTCTTTAGAGCTATTTGTTTTATCAAGTTCTATTAATTTAGCATACAAAAGCGATATTTTAAACATGTAACCAAATGACCAGTTCTGAGAAGTATCAAGTGACATTTAGTAGGGATGGCAGCGGATTTCGTGTAAACAGTGAATATCTGGAGACGAAATCATCTTCATTTGAAATGTTAGTTTCTCGGTAGCCGTTAACAAATTCCATTATGCCGGTCTCGTCCCAAAAGCTCTCAGACGTTGTAGGGCGCGTAGGTGATGTTTTCAACATTCTAACAGTCGTATCAGATTCCTAACTGTACAGCACACTTCACAGCTGACACCGATACGGTACACCGGCGGCTATCAAAAATATATTTTGACGTCTTAAATACTTTACTGAGGAGTTCAATTGAACCGAAATTTTATTATGAAAGTATTTATTTATTTTATTAGGAAGCCAACATAATGTACAATGATGTTACAAAGTACACTACAATTAAAGGCTAACTCAGCATGCATTCACAAAAAAAATATATATTGTTAGTATTAACTAACAAGAACAGGAACTTATGAATATACATATGTATATTATTCATTTCTGTAAATTTTAGACGTAACAAGTATGAATATATACTAAATTATTGGTTTGGTTTTTGCACCTGCATCTTTTATATAGTAACGTACACAAACAAACACACATACTAGCACGTTGTGTAAGTTGTAATGTCGTCTTTATAGCGTCACAGACGTCGTTGCTCCTATGGCTTCTCTCACAAGCTTAATTGTCGTAAACAAACGCGACTCACGAATCGAGGAAGGCATTTATTAAAGCCGCCTGTGTTTTTTGTTGATTAACTACATTTTTGAACGACCGCGTCGCTTATTATTGTGTTGCTGGCTCGCAGCTTGTTTATGGAGAGAATTTTTTTTTATTAAATCAGCTGATTAACGTCAGCGACACCGCCAAATGACAGCCTATTAAAATATTCTGAACGACTGTATGATTTTACATCGTCATTTGAAAGATGTGTAAATATTTAATAATTCTGTCGGGACGTTGATATCACTGGTAATGGTCGAATAAAAAATGATAATGAATTTCCTAATGGTTTTCAGTACTTAGCCGACGTAGACTGGAGTCGTGTTAATTTCCGGCTCATCTCTCGACTAGACAAAGTGAAGCCTGACATGAAAGCTCCTGATGTACATTGCGATTAAGTGCATAGTGCATCGGTATGCACTTCCCCCTTCGTGCACCTAGCCCTAGAGTGTGTGTGTTTAGAGGGAACGTGGAGATTTTGATTAAAATGTTCTTAGTAAATTATATGCATATGTAATGAAAAGCATTCATTCGCTTGTATTATAAATTTTATGTACAATTTTAAACCTATAAAGTTTAACAAACGATTCATAATATATCTATAATTATATTGATATTTCGTTAAGCATCGTGCCTTGAATGATGCGTCTTCCTTTATCTTAAACTAATTAAACACGTAATACCTTTAAGGACCACCAAGGCTCGGCTTGGCCTCAATGGCTTATCAATGAAAGCACAATAGTGCGTTATCCGCGCATGCTCTATCACAACCGACTACCATATCGGTCGACGACCTGATGCCTCCGATTGCTGGCTGGCTCCTGTATACAATACAACTACTTGTAATATATACCTTGGACAGATCTTGTTTCATATTTCACATAAATTTTCACTTCGACGGAATACAAGTTGAAGCCTTTTTTGTACCAGTATAAAAGTGTATATACCGCTCAGGTTTCTTTAAAGCGTATCCTGGTTCCTATCATCCAATTATAATCAAGTTGTAATCAAAAACATTTCGTTCAATCAGAGTAATATTAACGGAAACAATTACTATGATAGCACCGCTCAAGATTGACTTTACGACTTATGGACCATAAAACATATTATACACAGCCGGTAATTCCTGTGAATATTTGTGGCGGCTCACCGTGACAAGTTACATAAAAGCTAGTCGGCTATTTTTATCCACCAGAAGGCAATTTACAGCAATTACGCTTAAAGCAAAATTCCACATTCTCATAGCTCCTCAAATGGGAAATTGATATAGAATCTCGTCAAATAAAGCTGTGGGCAAATTTAGTGCCCATCTCTGAACATTGTCGCTTTTTTTTCGATTCCGTTCGTCCATTCACAGTTTCATACGTTTAAATGTATTATTAGTTTTTTGCTATTGCAGAATGCCTGAATAGGTCGTTTATTCGCAATTAGGCTCTCATTACCCGTTTGTTTCGCCCACGTCCTTTTAATCACGACAAGTCTGTGTTTTTTTTTTGTGGTCATAATTTACTTGTAAGTGGTTTCTTGAATGAGAGTTTATAGCGAGCTCGCGTGTTTACAATGAAATGACATGCGGCCTGTCAAAACTGTTGTGAATTTTTATGATCATCTCATACCTAATGGGAAATTTTATTGTTCTAGACAATATTACGACCAGTTATACTGGTTTTACAAAGTATAACATATTTTTGAAATGTGGAGTTATGTACCTACTATAATATTGTAAGGCTGAATATTTATATATGTTTACAATTTAAGCATCGTTAGTATTGTGCAACCACCATGATAAACCACCATGTAAAGGGTTCACTTAAACCAAATGGTTAGGGGTTTAGTGGTACATGTGTAAAATAAGTATATAAATGACCTGTCTACGGTTTACTGTGGCATAAAATATTTCAATTCCGTTTCACGCTTGGAATTTTATTCTAAATAATTTTTAACTTACATTTTTTTCTCTAGAATATATATTTTTTAATAATATAATTGAACTGATTATATTATATAGCCGCTAAGACAAGACATGTATAATTTAATGCCCTCCATTTTATAAAGATGTGTAGAACAAATGAAGTGGTCATGCTTCTCTCTTGCAACAATGGTCGACACAGCAATAAATCTGGCCTGCAGCGGCGCCATGTTATTGTTACGGTGTATTGTGCAGGCTGGTCTACCTCACGCCTCTTTGTTGTGTGCCAGCGACATGGACTCCTGCTAAATTAAAATATTCAAGGAGGGAGATTTCTTAACCCTGAAACTTAGTGACACGATTTTGTACAACAATTAACAATTTCTCCAAAGTGAAATTATGTCTAAATAGCGGTATGCCGTTTCAGTCCCGCTAGTTGGACAATTAGTGATGGTTACCTTCCGTTGTTCAATGATCACCGGATCTATTAATATTACTGATCTGTTATATATTGTGAAATCAGGTATTGTAGCATTTTGGCGAGCTTAAAATATTCGTATCTTTTTTATTGGAAGGATTTCGACAGTTGGGGCTCATCCGATAGATTCCATTAAGTGACTGACGCTTTTACATGCAGCTACGAGCCTGTTTTTTTCTGTTTACAGAACAAAATTCATACCAAACTAAAAATAAATTACTTTAAATCTATAGGTCACTTTTGCATTTGAACATATGATTTCATTAAAGAAATTCCGTAAATAAAACACTAGCAAATAACAATCACCGAGGTTCACGACTTCTGTTACGAAGTTTAAAAATGCTCTGAGAATGCCACGACTTGTCATTTTGTAGTCACGATCCTGCTCCGCGAAATGTCATCTGAGGTGTAAACGTAACGCACGAATAGCATATTCCTACAGTCTGCGTATTGCAATAGTGCATATTGCACATCGGTTCGCCCTTAAGCTTACTTAAATCTTAATAAGAACTATTTAAATGATTCCATTTTTATACGTACCATGCGGATTTGAGAGATCGAAATAACCCTTAACAAACAATGACCTATATACCAGAAAAATTTGTATATACTCATGATGATGAAACCGAATTTGGTGCGACCTTGTACGTAGCACGTTGCCGCAATTAGCGAGCTTCTTAATAGTCACTAATAACATCTTGAATGCTTCCTTGTTCACAAAGCGAGACTCGATTGGAACATTAATGTTACATGAGCCATTGTACTTTTTTGGTGATCATTAGACGCACATAAATTTACATTTTCCGGTCTCTCGTTTAATTGTTTACAAATACAATTATGCTTGGATGTCGTTAAGAATTGCCATTCATATACCAATTCAATTTCTTCTATCGTCTTATTTGGTGTTTACCTTATCAATATTGACTGTTTCGCCAGTTCTCTATTGTGGGAGGTTCATCAGTACGGGTCGAAATTCCCATTTCGTAATGGCCCCGCACAGAGAATAGCAATTAGGAGGTCCATGAAAGGTTACCATACACGGCTGCGTTCATACATAGTTCGCACGCTCCAGATTGCATGCGCTCGCGCACTGCGTTTAAAGTATGGACGTGGTCATGTACGTACAGTAAGTAAGTAATCACGTTTGAGGTTCAGTATATTTAATTTTAAACTCTATGTTAAAATACAGAAGGTGCATTTTTATTTTATAGTTGTAAAATTTTTATGTACTCATCATATCGGTATTTGACTGTATAACAACTATTGTACAGCGAAAGGGACAAAAAATTATGACATTTTCGTGTTGCTTCTTTAATAGTCAGGTCGCGAAAACCACAGTTCCTATTAATGTTGACTAATGTACCTAATTATACAGGGTGACTGGTGAATTACTATCGATACTTGAGGACGTGATATTTGACGATCATATATGACAAAATAAAAATTTATATAACACAAATATTAATAAACTTCTAAGTAAAGTTAACCAAAAGTTATGTAATTAATTACGCATCGTGTGAACACCCTACAGATTAGGTATACACACACACTCACACACACACACATAGGCGTGCGGCGGCGTGGTGTTGTATCAGCACGCCGCCGCACGCGTCCACACATGGAACACTTGGAACGTGTCCACACTTTATTTATTTATACGGAAATTTGGTCAAAAATTAAGTACCTATTTTTTTTACATAATTCGAATGAGAATCATGTACCGAGTATTCTCCTTAAATATTGATAGTAATTCACCAGTCACCCTGTATATTTGTGTATATTCTTTATTATTGCTGTCATACAATTATTTCATTTTGTGAATTGAATTAAAATTAAAAGAATATAGGTATGTACGCAAAATAAAATATTAGCTTACTAACTGCTTTTACCTTCAGCCGATCAGTCACATTATTTTTAATTTACCTTAATAATTACTATTATCATTATAATTCAATAACAAAATTTCTTATCCTTTGTTTTAAATAGACTAGAAAAGTTTTTTTTACTTTTCTCGTCACGCTCGTTAAAAACAATACTAAGGAGATAAGATTTATGTAACGAAGTGACAAAAAATTTACTCTTTCATTTGCAAGAAGTTTCTTAGTAAAAACAGTTTTACAACAAAATATTTTTTCCATCAAAATAATTCATGTACCTATATATAAAATTTTCTCTTTGTATGTATGGGAGTGCAGAATAACATGATGCTTCTACAATTATTATTTAATGTTGGCCGTCATTACAGTCTGTATGAGCGAGCTGGTAGTCAATGGCGATGTTCATTATGATAGCGATGCCTTTGTCATTAAGGTTCTGGGACTACTGTGACGTCATACCCTGGTTTCATTGACGCCAGTCGTTTAGTGATAGTCTCAAGGCCTTAGTTTGTGTTCGAAACAAATTGCTTCTTCATTTCGGGATCGTTCATTAGATTTGGTATATTTTGTAAAAACTTAATGGACCTGTCTGAGTGTGTATTTTTATAAAAAAAGAATACTAGAATGTTTTGCATTGTTTTTTTATTTTGCTGTAGTGAATGGCTAAAGTGTTCATTCCTCCTAAGATGCGATGTCGTGATTATAAATGTTAAATCTCAAAATATAATATCGAGCATAAGAAATCGATCGGATTCAAGCTGATGGTTTTCTCAACGCTTCACTGCTTTAACATTAAATCTGACGGCCATCTTAATAGAAATTGCGAAACCCATTGACGATATTTATAATACTGCTTAATAGTTAATGCCTTAGCCATTTCTTAAAGTTTAAACTAATAACATATATTTGATATAAAATCCGCTTAAAAATCTTTTACAACATAGATTTGTTCAGTCATTAATTTTACGTATTATAAATATATTTGTCATTTAAAGCACCTTGATCTATATTTCTTAACTAGTGCTGTTAAAGTGTCAAAAGTTTCGTAATAATTAATGAGCGATTCTGAACCCCCGACCTTTGTCCAACATCGATGTCACGGAGAACCTTGGCTGGTTAGTTCCAGGCTCTCTTTCTAATCGTGACCAGCCCCGACACCCCGGCCTTCGGACCCCACTCCCTTCATAGATCGCTATCTCTGCAGCCTTCTGTTACTTCCATTGTGCCGTTCGTATGAAATATCATATTTGTATATGACAGTTTATTTCCCGAATTGCGAAATTTATAACTGTCAAATATGAAATATCAACAGTCCAACTCTTGAATTATTTTGTTCGGTTTGTTGAATCGATGAGTGGTGCATGTTGGAAACAGTTACTGCGACTCTTTGACGTACGGAGGGGAGACCGGCTTGTTTTAATTAAACTCTTCAACTCAAAAGTTAGTTTATAACTGATGTTTATTGTTGTAGTTTGCTAAGAACGAAAATTGAAATTAATTGTTTTACGACGAATTTATTCATTTTGCATATGTGAGTTACTGTTAGTATATATTTTTTCCATAGTGACTAATTCGAGTGTGTATGCAAATCGTGTTTTTGATTTCAGTCG